ATAGGACAAACACTTACACACATAAAACAAATAAATAAAATAAAAACCAGATGTGGTGGCACACATCTGTAATCCCAGTATTCCTTCAGTGAGATGGGCAGTGAAGACAGGAGAATCACTGGGAATCTTGAGGGTCAGCTAGCCTGGAGTACAAAAGGGGACAGGGATAGAAACAAGAGAGACTCTGTCTTAGCAAAGTGGGAGGAGAGAACTCCTGAAAGATGCCATCTGACCTCCTCATGCTGCTGTGGCATAAATGCATCTACACTCTCTTGTACATATTCTCTCTCTCTCTCTCTCTCTCTCTCTCTCTCTCTCTCTCTCTCTCTCTCTCTCTCTCTCTCACACACACACACACACACACACACACACACACACACTAAGATTTAAAACACACAAATACACACTAAGATTTAAAAAACAACTCAAAACCCAACTATCTTAAAATAATTAAAGGGAAGGATCAGGCTAAATGTTTGACACAAAAGCCTGACAACATGACTTTGATCCTCAGGACCCAGAGTGGAAGGAAAGAACCAATGTACACATGTTCAAACATGGATATAACACACACAAACTAAAATAATAAAATTTAAAATTTAAGAAGAATTAGTAGTTTGACTGATGGTTATTTTCTCAGAAGTAACAAGAAAAGTCAGGAAAGAGTGGAATGATCCATTCAAAGCCGGGCGGTGGTGGCGCACGCCTTTAATCCCAGCACTCGGGAGGCAGAGGCAGGCGGATCTTTGTGAGTTCGAGGCCAGCCTGGTCTACAGAGCGAGATCCAGGAACGGCGCAAAGCTACACAGAGAAACCCTGTCTCGAAAAACAAAAACAAAAACAAAAACAAAAACAAAAAAAAAGTATGAGCAAAATTAACCATCAACAAGAATTCTGTGTTCAATAAAAATGCTCTTCAAAGTAAGAACAAAGAGAATGTTTCCAGAGAAAATAAAAACAGAGGAAGTTTGGTGAAATCAGAATTGAATCAAAAAGGAAATTTATTCTGCAGAAGAAAAATGACCTCACATGGGAAGTCAGAGATGCAGGAGGGAATTGAAGTATGGCAATGAGAGGATAAACCAAGACCATCAGGTCTCTCCATCAACCAAGCTAATGGATAATGGAACTTTCCCAAGTTCCTGCCCTGAGAAAATTCCTCCCAGAGTCCTGGAAAGATGCTACATATGGCGAGGAATATCTGAGGGAAAGGAATCTATATATACTATGCTCTTTTGTCCGTTAACTTTATTTCTCTATGACAAAATTCTATCTATACAGCTTCAACCCTGTCCTTGTTAGGATTCTGCTGCATTCCAGTGGCATGACCGTAATGTGCAGTTCAGGAGTTAAGCAAAGGGTCTTGCATCTTACGTGATCAGTGTGCGCTGTGACTATGATGTGGTCATGCAGTCAGTGTATGCGTGGTGTAGCTCTGTGGGGCCACCTGTGCCTTAAAGAGCTGTGACTCAGGCCCCACCCTCTAGCTCGCTCGCTCTCTTTCTCTCTCTCTCTCTCTCTCTCTCTCTCTCTCTCTCTCTCTCTCTCTCTCCTCTGCTCTCTCTTCCCTCACCATCTTTCCTCTCTCTGCACATGCTTTCCTCCCCAGGCCTGGTTCTCTTGTTGTCCCCCACACCCCACACCCCTCTTCCTCTTAATAAAGCTCTAATACTAATACTGGGTTCTGTCATGACCGTGACCTTTCCTTGCGATAGCCAGCACTGCCACCAGTACCATTTATCATTTATCATTTCAGTCCTCACATTCAGCTCCTCTCTGTGCCCAGTTTTCCTGTCCTCATAGCTTTAGTAAGCTCCTATGCTTTTCACCTGATCTTCGTCCTCTGTTCCTTCATCCTCCATCTATATCCTTCCTGGCTCCTTACCCCTGGCCCTGATAAACTCTACCACAGATCTGCTTTACCCTCCACGGAACCTCTGTCTTCCTCTCTTCTCTCTGGCCACTGGGTTCTGTCCTTCCTCTGGAATTCCACTCCAGTCCTTACTGTACTTGGTTATGCAAAAAGCCCTATTGTCCTCAGTCAATCTCTCTGCCATGCCCCTAGGCCTGAGGGAAGGAGATGGTATTAGCTTCATCTGCAGAAGAAACAAAGCCATGCATCTAGGAGCCTGCTTGTCTCCTAGGCTGGGGGTGGGGGGTTAGTTACCTAGAAGTTTAGCAGGTCTGAGGAGCTGAACGGGTTGCCAAATGGTCTGGGAATATTTGGGCATGCATGCAAGAATTTCATAGCAGAAGACAGCTGGAATATTAAGGCTGTATAACACCAAATATTCCATGATAAGTGGCTTCCCATTTGACAGACCCTTGGCCGGTCAAAGTACAGCTTTAATACACAGCTAAATCTCTATAATACATTCTGTAGCCTGCAAGACCAAGCAGTCCTAGGACAGAATTCAGGCTATCATTGGAAAGTGCCCCAACCCAACAAGCCATCCCACTGGCCCTTGTTTGTAACTCTTCTGATCATGAATGTGGGCAAGATCCAAAAGTGCCTCCAGTGCAGGTGTTTCTAAGGGAAAGGGGGGACTTGGGGGTATCCTGGATGTGCTTGTCAACCCAGAAGCTCTCTGAACCCATCCACTTCTAGCTTTTCAGGTGTCATATAGAAATGGCTGAAAACATCATTAGCTACTTGTGATTAATTCAGCCTTCAAACTCTGGCCCCTGGCTCTGACTCTATCTAGGAGTGTACTTAGTCAGCTCACTAGCACAAAATTCAGAACTGATGGAAGGGAATTTACGATGAGTGGATGTTTCAGGAACTGGGGGTATATACCTACCTATATATCACAATATCATAAAAGAACATCTCGATGGATGCTGTGGGTCAAGCCTTTAATCCCAGTGCTCAGGAGTCAGTTGGAGGCAAGTGGGTCTGTGAGTTCAAGGTCAGCCTGTTCCATGTATTGAGTTCCAGGCCAGCCAGAACTACATAGTGAGACTCAGTCTCAAAGCAAACAAAACTTGCAGTTAGCTGCAAGGGTTATGTAAGGGCTTCTCTCCTAGCTATGTATGTATGCAAGGATATGAAGTGTGCTTCCTTTCTTTGAACAAAACACTGTCACAACAAATGAATGCAGAAGAATGAGTGAGAATTCAACTGCTTCTTATCAAGCTCAGGCATTAAACATACTCTCAAAAAATGAATGCATAGAACCATGCCATTCTTCTCACACATTTTTGTTTAAGGAAACAAAGTTAATTATGTCATTTGCTTTTCTTATTTCAAAATTAATAAGCCTATTTAAGATTTCTGTTTCAATTTTTAATATGGCAAGTATCAGAAGCTGCTGAGAAACAAAAAGTCAGTCGATATAACCCAATGTACAGCTTGTATTAGCCAGGGTTCTCTAGAGGAACAGAACCAATGCAATGAAAATGTATTACAAAGGGGATTTGTTCGGTTGGCTTACGTGATGCCGGCTGGATATCCAACAATGGCTGTCTACATGCTGAAGAGGCTGAGAACCTGTTGGCCCTTCAGTCCATGGTGCAGGATGCCTCAGTCTGGTGCTGAATACCTGGAAGACTCCTGGAGAGCCACTGGGTGGAAGACCGAAGAAACTGGGTTCTCATGGTAGTACAGCAGCGGCAGCACTCGGCAGCAGGAAGCGCAGGCTGGTGTGAGCGGCCCCGACTTTCTCCCGGATTTCCTTATCTCTGGGCCAGAGCGGAAAGGTGCTGCCCACTGTGGGGGAACAGTCTCCCCCCCTCAGCTAATCCCTCCTAGAAATACTTGCCCAAACCCCTCGAGCGGCATATCGCTTAATCGCTTAGTGGATTCTAATCCAATCAAATTGACAACCAAAATGAATCTTCACAACAGCATTTGCCAATTCTGTGATGTAAATATTCCCATTGTGACAGATTTTAAGCAACTAATGTGATTTCAGAGCATTCGGAGGAGATGACAGCTGCTCTTGCAGGCCACAGCCTGGTTGTAGCTCTACTCAATATAATGTTTATAAAGAAGTCCTGTATGGGGCTGGAGAGATGGCCCAGCGGTTAAAAGCACTGACTGCTGCTGCAGAGGTCCGGGGTTCAGTTCCCAACACCCACGAGGTGGCTCACAACTGTCTGTAACTCCAGTTCCAGAAGATCTGACATTCTCTTCTGGCCTCCATGGGCAATAGGCATGGATGTAGAACACATGTAAGCACACACTCATACACATAAAACAAAATAAAACTTAATTTTTAAACAGTTTCTTCTATTAGTGCATCTTTTTTTGGTTAATCCTTTTCCTTTTTTCTTTCTCTCCTTTTTTTTCCTCTTTGCTTCTTTCTTCTTCCTCTCCTATTCACCCTCTTCTTTCCTGCTTTGCTAGGGTTTAAAGTAAGGGACTTTTCACTTTAGGCAAGTGCTCTGCCACTGAGTTACATAACATTCCCCTAGATCAGGCTTTCATAAGAGTTATAGAACATTGCATCATATAGACAGATTCCACCGCACTGAACCAGCCCTCTGTAGATAGATATCTTGATGGCTCCTGATCCTTTGGCCTAGAGAATAAGCAAAATATGGGGCTCTGTCCCACTGAGCTGAGCTGAGGTCTATTCATTAATGCATTACAACCTTACCTTAGCACCCAGGACACAGAATGTGAAGCGCTTATGGAATGAATGAATGAAGACTGAATGAATGAACCCATATTGCGTTAGCTGCAAACACAATGCAGGATTCTTCATGGAAGCCCCTTAGGCAGTGTCACAGACAGGGAGTGGATGGAAGCCAGAGATTTAAGCTGGAGTTAGAATGAATGGAAGTCTCAATTGTCCCCCCAGGGAGCTGGGTGTCTTTAGGCACCTGAACCTCTCTGTATTTCAGTGTCCTCAAGTACAAAGCAGATACCATTCTGGCACCAGCCTCCAAGGGACGCTGTGAGTGGCCATCTGTTGGTGTGTTAGCATGGACTCACATATCAGCATTAATGAGTATTAGAATTCAAACCTTCAAGAAAGAGTCCAACTCACCCCAGTCACAAAAATGTGGCAAGGGTGGTGCCCCTCTTGTAACAGGGGAGACACCCGGCCTTTCACTGCTGTTTTCACGGTGGTGCTTTTCAGTTTGACCCCTTTATGTGGGGCCAGCTCTGCTCCTCCAGAATCAACTGCCTCCTAGTGAAGAGGATCTGTGTCTGTCGCCATGGAGACAGTCAACAAAAGAGAATCCAAGTCACATCACTCTGCCTGGATGGAAGTGAGCTCTCCGGGCTTGGTTTTAAATTTCCTGAGCTGGACAGAGTGTTGGCAGATAAGGAGATGAACACTCGAACAACCCCCCAATACCTCTCTGTCCCCTGAACCTGCCAAGTCAACCGGACGCCTGACAGATCCTTACCATGTTTACGACCGCAGCGGTTCCTCAGACGTTTTCGACCCCGAGCTGGCAGATTGAAAAGCAGTATTCAACGAGAGTGCTCGTTGGAAACTGGGTGGAAGAGAGGAGGAAGGTAAGACAGGAGAGCCAGTGGGAAAATAGCTCACAGAGAGGAGTGAAGTCACGGCTCTTCTCTAGTGTGGGACAGCCCATGGCCGAATCTTAAGATTATGGTGCTAGGTAGAGTCTTTGTGCTCTACATAGGAAAGATGCTTTTACACAATAATTAAGGTCCCCCCTTATATCTTAAAGAAAAGACACCATAGCAGGGGAATTAATACAGTTGTACCTCTACCTCGGTTGTAACTGGAATGTTTCAAGGTATCAGAATATTCCCCAGTTTCTTTGCACTTTTAAATTGTATTTATTATTGTTTGTTTTGTTGTTGGTTTGTTTTTTTTTTTTTTTAGATAGTCTTTCCACATACTCTTGGCTGTCCTAGAACTCACTATTTAGTCTAAGCTGACCTCGAACTCACAGAGATCTGCCTGCCTCTGCCTCCCAAGTGCTTGGATTAAAGGCCTGTGCCACCACCTTTGTACTTCTTTAAAGTTTTTTACTGGGCTGGAGACATGGCTGAGCAGTTAGGAGCACTTACTGTTCTTGTAGAGGTCTGGAGTTTGGTTCCCAGCCCCTCCCCTGATAGCACTTCACATACAACTCCGAGGGATCCAATGTTCTCTTCTGGCTTCCTTGTGCTGTATGAACACGGTTCACCTACATACATGCAAGCAAACACTCATACACATAAAATTAAAATAATGCATAAATCTTTAAAAACAATAATTTGTGTGTGTGTGTGTGTGTGTGTGTGTGTGTGTGTGTGTGTGTGTGTGTGCGTGCGTGCGCGCGCGCACTTGTATGCAGATGCCTGCAGAAGCCATAAGAGGGAGTCATATCCACTGGGACTGGAGCTACGGGTAGTTGTGAACAGCCCAGTGTGGGCAATGGGAACCAAACTTGGACCTCTGCAAGAGCAGTAAGCACTCTTAACTCCTGAGTCATCCTTTGAACTTTTATTTGAAGACTTTCTACTCTTCTCAGCCTGGCCTTTCCCTGACCATAGCACCTACTGAGGTAGTCATGGCCCGTCCTGCAGTGACGTCGATGGATATGTTGCTGCTAAGTGCACGTATTCCACAGCCCTGCCCTGCCTGTGTTCAGTGTCTACTTTCAAAACAGAGCAGTTTCTTAGTGTTGCTTCGCCTGAATGGGCCACTTGAAACTGAATATCCTCCTTTGTGGCTAGCAAGAATGAGCCACTGAGAGCTTTGCAGAGACTGGAATTGAGTAGTTCAATTGGAATAGTACTTGTTTAGCATACATGAGACCCACCCAGGGTTCAGTTCCCAGAAGTGCATAAACTAGGAGGTGAGGTGTTGCACACCTACAGTCCAGAGCTCTCAGAACTCAGGGGATAGTAGCAGAAAGATCTATATTTCAAGGTCATTTTTGGTAACAAATTGAGTACAAAGCCAGAATTATATATGTGTGTGTGTGTGTGTGTGTGTGTGTGTGTGTGTGTGTGTGTGTGTGTAGTGTGTAGATATATGATGTATAGGTATATGATATATAAAGATTCATAGATATGGTATATATACGTATATGTGTATATACATTTTTTTTTTCTTTTCAGGGATACCTAGACATCCTCAGATAGTCTTAGGAAATGAGAAAGGAAAAGTGGTTAAGACAGAACCGCCAGCTTTGGTATAGGGAGAATGGGGAAAGTTGGTGGTACTTTATGTTGACCTAAGCAGATCTGTCTATAAGACCTGGGATTTGAGAACCTTAAAAATAGGGCAGACTACAGTCTAATGCTGCAGACAACTTTACTTCAATCTCATGTACTTCTATACATGAATGAAACAAAGAAGGCAATGATCTAAGGAAGGTTGTTTGAGTTCAGAAAAACATGTAAATAAATGTTAGTAAGCACATACTAATTATCAACAGAGCAGTCCTTTCCCAGGACTTTCTCAGGACAGACCAATTTAAACACAATGTCTGGCATGTACTGTAGATTGTATTTGGGAAAGCATGAAATCAAGGCAGAATGTCGTATCCAGATTCAGGTATACTGAGGACAGCACTCAGCATAGCCTTTCACCAGGTTGGGTTCTATAGCCATGTTCTGACATCCAACAAGAATAAACATGTCTTATAAATTGAATGTAAATGTTTGCCTCAGGAGGTATAAAATGACGTCCAAGAACATTCCAGGGATCAAAATACACTTGAGGTAAAAAGCCCTCTGACTTTTTTTTTTCCTGGAGCCTTTCTCATAGTTCCCCAAGGCATTGTTCACCATGCGTCATTCTTTTGACTGTGTTCCATCACTTTGGATAACTAGAAAAGATTGTTTCCATGGAGAACATTAGCCATCACCAGACATGGCATGAGTCATCATTAACTTTAACTGTGCTTGACTGATGTAAGGAAGAGAAGCACCAAGGGGAAAAAATTACCAGATGAACAATCAGTTAGGGTTCTCATAGTGTTGTGCCCAGATCGTGACCCCCAGAGAGACCACCAAAGACGAGCATGCCAGAATGCAAAAGCAAGGCTTAATTTCAGGATATCCAAATGCAATACAAGCCTAGGCAGGGACTTCGTCCAATACATCCAACGCAGTGGAGGCTGGAGGAAGTGCCCACCTATCTGCAAGTTCAGCTTTTAAAGGGAAAAATCACAAGGTTACATCATTTAGGGGTGCTAGTACAGGTACAATTCTGATTGGCTCGCTTCTAGGAACTTCTAGAAATTACATCTAAGGGAGTGGTTGCCCACCACCATTTCTCATTGGCTGCCCCCAGATGGGGGCATCTGGTGATTACACAGTCACTGTGGAAACTAGGGTTGGGACATTCTATGGTCAAGCAGTTGCCTAGGGGGCCAGGGAGAGGACAGTCCATAGTCCGGCAGCCATTACCTCCTGACTACCTTGTGACTCTGTACTTTTACATTTCCTGGTTTCTGGAATCTGAACTGACTGGTTTCAGTAACTAATGGCCTATTCCCAAAAGGAGAAATCTTAGGCCTTAATTTTAGGGTGAAAGCATTTTGGTCTTATTTCTAAGATGGCTCATTTTGGTCTCACAATAAGAGAAAGTTGCAAGGGACTCCAATCTACAAATAATCATTTACGTTGCCTGTAGGAGAAGCTACAAGGGAGTCTGGACTATAAATGTCTCAAACAAGAGATAATGGGGAGAGACGGTCAAAGGTGGTGCATAGCCTTAATCTCAGCCCTCAGGAGGCAGTAGGCAGATTTCTATGAGTTGAGGCCAGCCTAGGCTATATAGGGAGCTCCGGGCCAGCCAAGGCTACATAGTAAGATTTTGTTGGGGGTGGGGATGAGAGGAGAGAGGAGAATGAGCAGAAGAATCTAATATAATACCCAAAGAAAAAGCTAGGGTTTGGTGGCATTTATTTATAATCTCAAGACTTGAAAAGGCTGGGCAGGAGGGTTGTAAGTTCAAGGCCAAGATAGGCTACGCATTGAGACCCTATCAAGAAAAGAAAGAAAAGGGAGATAGCATTTTAGAGGGAAATTAAGATAATTAATAGGAATAGTGTATGTGAATATGATAAACTACAGAAAAGCCCAGGCAGGATGTGTGCCAAGAAAAGGCTTGAGAATTGATTCAGCCTTCTTGATGGCTGGCCCTGAAGACCAGCTAGTTAAAAATAAAAAGGTCTCCTCCTTGCATATATCTGGTCAACAAAGAGTGGGAGAGTTGTTTTTTCAGCAATTAAAAAATCATTAGACATACAAAGGAAAAGCAAAGCATGCCGAAAGAATAAACAAGATAGCAACCTTTCTAAAAAACAAAAAAAAACAAAAACAAAAAAAACCCAAAAGAGTATTAATATACCCTTAATTCCAGCACTCGGGAGGTAGAGGCATGCAGATCTGTGTAAGTCTGTGCATCTCTGTGAGTGTGTGGCCAGACTAGTCTATATAGTAAGATCCTGTCTCAAAAAGAAAGAAAGAAAGGAAGGAAGGGAAAGGGAAAGGGAAAGGGAAAGGAAAAGAAAGGAAAGGGAAAGGGAAAGGAAAAGGAAAGGAAAAGAAAGAAAGGGAAAGGAAAGGAAAGGAAAGGAAAGGAAAGGAAAGGAAAGGAAAGGAAAGGAAAGGAAAGGAAAGGAAAAGAATGGCTGAAAATATCGAAAATATCGCTTGAAGGAGTACATAGCTTTGTGAATCCAAGAAGTTCAAGAAATTCCAAGGAGAATAAATGTAGAGAGAGGCACACTGGTGATAGCCATGGCAATCAAACTATTAGAAATCAAAGACAACAGGGACTCTTAAAAACAAGAGAAGCATGGGTAGGAGAGGCGGCTCAGAGCACTTGTTACTCTTACAGATGGTCCAGGTTCAGTTCCCAGCACTCACATGGTGACTCACAACCACCTGTAACTCCAGTTCCAGGGGATCTTATGCCCTTTTCTGACCTCCAAGGGTACCAGGCTAGCATGTGGTACACAGACATACATGCAGTCAAAACACTCATACTCATGAACTAAATAGAGCTACAGAAGAAGAAGGAGAAGGAGAAAGAAAGATACATAAATGAAAACAAAACCCACATTGACTTGTCCAGTAGGAGAAGGAGAAAGAAAGATAGAAAGATACATAAAGAAAACAAAAACCATAGACAATGACTTGTCCAGTACAGTACAATAACTTATCAGAGAGTCTATCAGTGGAGTTTCTCAGCAAAAACCTAGAAGCAGTGGGGTGATATATTCAAAGCATAACAGAAAGTAAAAACTGTCAATTGAGAAATCTATAGCCCACAAACTTTCCTTCAAAAATAAGAAAGCAATGAAGACATTTCCAGACAAGCAAAAGCCTAGGATATTTATCTGCCCAGAGCTCTGGAGATCCGGAGACCCATCTTTGAGGTAATCAGTCAAGTTGAAATGAAGGGATGTTAGCTCACTTTGTAGCTAGAGTTTTCCTGCCTGGCCCACAGTCAGGACAAACTCTCTGACCTGCCAGTCCCACAGCCACTCAGACCCGACCAAGTAAACACAGAGACTTATATTGGTTACAAACTGTATGGC